AGAGTATGTTAAAAATTTAATTGTTGCTGATGTACTAGTATAGAAAACTGGTTTTTTTTTGTTTTTTTAATCCTCATCCAAGGATATGTTTTATTAATGTTTTTAGAGAGGGGAACGAAAAGAAAGAGAGAGAAAGAAACATTAATTGGCTGTCTCCCGTATGTGCCCCTACTGGGGTTCGAACCCACAATCCAGGTATGTACCCTGACTGGGAATTGAACCTACTTTTGGAGTATGGGACAATGCTCCAACCAACTGAGGCAACCGGTCAGAACAGAACTTGTTTTTAATTCAGAAAATTTGCTTAATTCTGAATATTTATTTATATAGTCTTCAGGATTTTGTATGTAAATCATGTTCTCTATAATGATGACAGTCCCCCCCCCCTTTTTTTTTACCCCAAGCCTTACATTGTTTATGCCTTACTGCACTTGGTTAATACCTCTAGTATAATATTGAACAGAAGTGAGAGCAAACATCCTGTTCTTGTTTTTCCTGATTTCAGAGTATGCACTTTCCATGTTTCATGTTATGTATGACATTTGATACAGATTTTTTATAGATATTCTTTATTGGATTAAGGAAATTTCTTCTCCAAGGTTATATAGACAAAGAACCAATTTTAGGAACCACTCTATTACCCGTTTTTCTGTTTCATTAACTTATGGTCTTACAGGTATTATTTCCTTCTTTCTTTGTGTTTGATCTGCTAGGGTTTCTTTCTGAATTTTGAATATTGATTCTTAGATCACTGGGTTGTTGTTGTTTTTTCAGCCTTTTCTCTTTTCTAATATGCTTTTATATGTTTTTGTTTTGTTTGTTTTTTAAGTTGATTGGGGTGACATTGGTCAACATGAACATATAAGCTTCATGTGTGGGTTTCTATGTTACAATTTGCCCTATATCCAAGTATGTAGCCTTTGGGATACCAACCAAAGCCTGAGGTGTTTAGGGCCCCTCTATGTTGGAAAACTCTGAATTCCAGTTTTTGTCTTTCCAGGCTTGAGGGGCTGCCAGAAGCTTTTCTCAGCCTCTCAGCGGCAGCTTTTACTTTTGAAATTGGCAGTAACCAGGAGGGAAAATGTAGGCCTAAGTGTGGGTCTCACTCTTGGCTCCTCTGTCTTGTCCCTACAATGTCTCACCGCCTTGGGAGCTCTTCATACTACCATACCTTCTTCATACAGATGTATTTCACATTTTCTTCAGCATTTTCTGCTTGTCCTCAATAAGCGATTTGGTCTAAAACAGTGGTTCTCAACCTCCTGGCCCTTTAAAAATAGTTCCTCATGTTGTGACCCAACCATAAAATTATTTTTGTTGCTACTTCATAACTGTAATGTTACTACTGTTATGAATCATAATGTAAATATCTGATATGCAGGATGGTCTTAGGCGACCCCTGTGAAAGGGTCGTTAGACTGCCAAAGGGGTCGCGACCCACGGGTTGAGAGCCGTCGGTCTAAAACAACATAGCCATTGCTTAAAACATGGTCAGATTGTGTTTTAAAGCACCCTTACTCCTGGTGAGTCCACACTCACTGACACTAATAGCTTTTAGTAGGTGTTCTGTTGTAAGTAGTTACCCGTTATTTTGTAATATTGGAATATATGGTAAGCTCTCAGAAGTAGATCTTAGGAAGGGGATAAAGTAATATGAAAGTTCTTTATGTTGAAGCTTCTCTTTGAAAGAAATGTGGCCTGGCTGGCGTGGCTCAATGACCAGGAGGTCACAGTTCAATTCCAGGTCAGGGCACATGCCCAGGTTATGTGTTCGATCCCCAGTGTGGGGCATGTAGGAGGCAGCCAGTCAATGATTCTCATTACCAATGTTTCCCTCTCCCTCTCCCTTCCTCTCTGAAATCAATAAAAATATGAAATAGTAAATATCCCCAGTAATCAATATGGATTTGCTGTGATAGTATAGACATTTGACTTAATGTATTTTTCCAGAGGAGCTCTAGTAAATACCTAAATCTACAGCTTCCCAAACCAGAAGTTGTAGCTTTGTATTATAAAACTAGAGGCCCAGTACACGACATTAGTGCACTGGAGGGCAGGTCCCTCATACTGGCCTGCGCCCTCTCACAGTCTGGCTAAGCTGGCAGTCGGACATCCCCCGAGGGGTCCTTAGCGCTGCTGCGGAGGCAGAAGAGGCTCCGGCCACCGCTGCTGCCCTTGCTAGCCATGAGCCCGGCTTCTGGCTGAGCTGCGCTCACCCTGTGGAAGCCTCTGATCAGCAGGGGGGCAGTTCCTGCATTGAGCATCTGCCCCCTGATGGTCAATACACATCATAGCAACCGGTCATTCCACCATTTGGTCAATTTGCATATTAGCCTTTTATTCTATAAGATTATTACAAATATTAGGCTGTACCAATTATAGAAAGTGAACTGTCCTCCTACCTCTTTATGCATGGCATTGATACTTCGTGTGTCTTACAAGACTTGTCATTTTTCAAAGTGGGCATTCAAAACTTCATATCCCTAGCTTGCTTTTGTGACTGTCTTTTATTATTTCTTTATTTATACCCTATATTTAAGCCAAGCTAGAACATTCATTATCTTCTAAGAGCACTATTTTCGTGCTTTCTTCCCTTGTTCTGTTCTCTGTCTGGAATGATAAGTATGTTTTATCAAACTGCAGACCATCTCAAATGTCACCTTCTTAGAGACTATTATAGTCATTTTATGCACTCTTTTCCAAATCATAAATTTCTTAATGGAAATGGTCTTGCTTATCTTTCCATTATTTGTAAAATCTAAAAAAGTAGGAAATTGGTAAATGAAAATTGAGTTGTAAGGCAGAACTAAATTGACTGCCATTGTACATAGATTGACTATCTCTTTTTGTGACTTGCTTTGTTATATCTTTAGGCCACTTACTATTTTATATGTTCATTATATTTATTGATTTTTCACCAAGAGGGAGGGGGATAGAGAGTTAGAAACATGGATCAGCTGCCTCCTGCATACCTCCTACTGGGGATGTGCCCGCAACCAAGGTACATGCCCTTGACCGGAATCGAACCTGGGACACTTCAGTCCGCAGGCCGACGCTCTCTCCACTGAGCCAAACCGGTTAGGGCTCGGCCATTATATTTATATGAAGTTGCAAATTACTAATTTTGACATGTTGAGGATATCAACTCATCACTTTAATTGAAAATACTTGCCTTTTAGTTTGTTTATATGTTTGTTTCCTGCCTATATAGATTTTATTTCTAGATTATGGAAACATTAGTGTCATTGAAAATACAAATGGTGCAAAAGGTATACATATAGTAAAGTTTCCTTCCACATAGCAATATTTTTATGTGGAGAGGTTCTTAATTTTTATGTAACATTCTGTCAATTTTCTTTTGTTTCTGGCATAAAAAGTCTATTTTCTACCCCATGTCATTTAACAACTTGTCAATGTTTTTACAGTTCTTTTGTTTGATACACTTTTTACATGTAAATTGCTGTTGCATCAGGATTCTGTGTGTATGTACAGTTTATGAAGTAGAGATACGTTTTTACCCTGGCACTTTATTAAAAATGCAAGGTGTGAGGCCCAAGATTGATTTATTTATCCCAAATGACCATCCTTTCTTGTTCTATAACTGAGAATAATATTTTTAAAAAATATTATTTATTTCGCCCTGGCCATTTTGGCTCAGTGGATAGAGCGTTGGCCTGCAGACTCAAAGGTCCCGGGTTCGATTCCGGTCAAGGGCACATGCCCGGGTTGCGGGCTCCGTCCCCAGTGGGGGGTGTGCAGGAGGCAACCAATCAATGATCAATGATTCTTTCTCATCATTGATGTTTCTATCTCTCTCTTCCTTTCCCTTCCTTTCTGAAATCAATAAAGACATTTAAAATATATATATATATATTATTTATTTCAGCATTTTTCTCAATCTAATTCTGAGCCTTGGGTTTCCTGATATTATTAGTCTATGGAACTCATCTTCTCTTTTATCACCTGACTTTGATTTTTAAATCTTTCCTTTCTTCTTTTGAACTGTTAAGCACTGTTTTCTCCCTTTTTGTGCTTATATCATGTAACTGTTACAGAGTAAGACATCACTAGAAGCTTCCCAGTAGGAAAATGTGATAGTTTAGTACCTTTGTGTGAGGCTAAAGACTTATTTGCAGGGTGCTTGCTCTTTGTCAGTTACTTTGCTGCTAGCCCCCTTTGAAGGAGGTGGAGATGAAAACAGACCATCTTTGCCCTAGCCAGTTTGGCTCACTGGATAGAGTGTTGGCCTGCAGACCAAAGGGTCCTGGGTTTAATTCCAGTCAAGGGCACTTACCTTGGTTGCAGGTTCCTCCCCGGGCCAGGCCCTGGTCAGGCGCATGCAAGAGGCAACCAATCGATTTTTTTCTTGCACATCAATCTTTCCCTCTGTCTCTCCCTCTCTTTTCCACTCTCTCTAAAAATCAATGAAAAAATATCCTCAGGTGAGGATAAAAAAACAAAAAAAACAGACTATCTTTGCTGCCAAGGGACTCTGCCTGGCAGAAGAGACAGATGTATAGATAGATATCATATATTGATAAGTACCATAGATGTAAAAGTCACAAGTGTCATGACAGCATATTTTTAAAAAGTTAATAAAGCTGAAAATTTAATGAAGGAAGACTAAGTTAGTTTATGGACTTGTCTTCACTAGAACAGTTTAATTTACTCTGATCATTTCTATAGACAATATAGAGTAAATTTATGCATCATAGCTCTAAGTCATTATTGAATGTAATGTTCCTTTTTAATATATGCAAAAAGTACATTGATTCTTTCTACACTTAATAGCATTCCATTACTTCTCAGACTTTTTTATCCCATAGTTAATATTGGCAACTAACTTTCTTTTCAGAAGCCTTTCTTCACAAAGAAATATTTTTTAGTCACTTACAAAGGGGACTTTATATGCAGTATGAATAGAACCACAAAATTATATTAAAGGTTGAATGCTGAAGTATCACCTAATGCCAGTAATGTTACTTTTATTTGACTTTTAGCTATGGAAGAGAAGTGGTCCAAGTTCATCACCCTTTTCCAGCCCAGCCTCATCCCGCTCCCAGACGCCAGAGAGGCCAGCAAAGAAAATAAGGTAATTACTTATTTGCTGTGTGGATTATTGGTCAGGAAATTAGGGATATTTACTTGGCTCTTAGGCTTTCTGATTTAGAGAATCAAATAAATTAACATCTAGAAGGACAGTGAAGTGCCCAGAAGAATTGCTCTTATTTTTACAGTTCTTTATGCACTGAGTGTAGGGGCCTCTGGTTCTCTTCTGCTGTACGAGTGACCGGGTGTAAAAGTAGAGTAGAGTGAGCAGAGTGAATGTCAGCGGGCAGTAATCTTCATGTTCTTGACTGCAGCTGACCCTCCAGGCCTACCTACAGTCGACTAGAATGCCACTCTCTTAGGAATTATATCTATGCCTAGAACACTCAGTAACATGGGAAGTTGTAAGGAAGGTTTTGAAGATAATTGATTTGTGCTTGTTTTAAGACAGTGGTTTCTCCATGATTTCCATTAACTACCTCTCTTCATTTCTGTGGGAATTTTCTTTGACTTTTTTTTTTTTGTCCTGGCATACTAAGATCTCAAATCATGGTTGTTCTAGACTTTGGCCAGTTGGGAGCTGGGAGGATGTGTTATTCAGTATTTATTGTCAGGAAGTCTTTCTAAACTTAATTCTGTGTTTTTCTCCTACAGAGAAGAGGAACTTTCCCATCATTCTAGTCCTTCAACTCCATTAGTAACTGACAAGGAGTCCCAGGGAGAAAGGGGTAAGTTAATAAATAGGCAAGAGTGGCTCCTGGTGACAGAAGTGTTTATGGAGAATGTATAGACTAGTACCTATTCAAATCATACTTTCAGCTTTGCTGTGTAGAGGGCCTGGTATATACAGAGACAGAAGCTCTGTACTTCAGAGGTTTGTAGTCTGGTAAGGAAGGTGATAAGCAAATGCAGTATAACCCAGGGTAACTGTGGGATGGGGATAAGCTTAGGTTGAGGTATCTGTGAGCAATCCAAGAATTATTGCCCAGCAGTTGTATGCATGCATCTGGAGTAAGTACAGCCTCTTGACTATTATGAATAATCTTGTAAACGCTATCCATGAGCCCAGACTATGGAAGATGAAATCTTTCAGAAATACCCAGTGAAAACTTAGTGTTACAAATCAGGGGGTATAAATACACCTATCTATTTCTGGAAGAAAACAAGACTATATTTTTTTCTTTAGTTGTAGATACAACCACATGGAAGAAACAGAACTTGAGGAATTCCCCACCTACACCTGGCAGCTCTGGGCAGCGTAAACGGAAGATTCAGCTGCTGCCCTCCAGGCGGGGGGACCAGCTGACCTTGGTATGGTCTTGTCCATTTCCCCCTGCCCACCTTCTTAGCTCCTCTAAGTCTTAGGAAGGCTAAATACAGGTTTCTCCCAGTTTCTCATGATTGACTTGACTTCTCCTTTTTCTGTTGGGTAGCCTCCACCTCCCCAGCTTGGTTATTCAATTACTGCTGAGGACTTAGACTTGGAAAAGAAAGCTTCATTACAATGGTTCAACAAGGTCTTGGAAGATAAGACTGGTAAGGAATGAAGATATTTCACACTGTAGGGAGGATTTGGGGGTTTTTGGTCTCTCATCTGAGAAATCCATGTGGGTCCTCAGTAAATCTGGAGAGAGTGAGCACTGAGGTTGAGAGAAGCATTTCTACATGAGTTATTCTGAGACCCTGAGCATCCCCACGCCCTGCGAGATGCTACTGGGAAGAATTCCCAAACCAGGGAGGACAACTGAATCTTCTTATTCTTCCTTAGATGCTGCCTCAAGCTCAGTCACTGAGAACCCACCTACCACTCAGCCTTTTACTTTTACCCTGCCCACTGCTGGGACTGCTCCCTCTCCAGCCTCTCTCCCAGCCCCAAGCACTAATCCACTGTTGGAGAGCTTGAAGAAGATGCAGGATTCCCCAGGCCTAACATCCTTCCCAGGTGAGTGAGAGAGCTTCCCTTAGAGCAGTGGTTCTCAACCTTCCTAATGCCGTGATCCTTTAATACAGTTCCTCATGTTGTGGTGACCCCCAATTTCACTGTTACAAATTGAACATAATTAAAGCATAGTGATTAATCACAAAAACAGTATGTAATTATATATGTGTTTTCCGATGGTCTTAGGCAACCCCTGTGAAAGGGTCATTTGACCCCCCAAGGGGGTCGCGACCCACAGGTTGAGAACCTCTGCCTTAGAGCATATGGCATCAATCTTTGTTGAGGTTGAAGTAAAGGCATTATGCCTGTCAGTCAGTGGAAATTATAAGGATTGAACTTAACTCTGGTTGACCAGACCTGAGCTGGTAAAGCTTAAGAGTTTCAGGGTTCTGTAATCAGGAAATTTTAGGGAAGGGGAGCTGTAACACTTAAGCTAGGAGAAGCTTAGTTTTGTTAGTCAAATGGCTCTTGATTTGAAACCTACTTCCTTAGCTGCTCTGATCCTTGCCGTCATCTGTAAAATGAGAATAATGCTTACCTCATGAGGTAGCGCTGAACTGTAAATGTGATTACATGGTTGAGATGTCTTGTCACGTGCTTATTAGACCAAAGGCACAAGATAATATGAATTATTTTTCCCTCTAGGTTTCCAAGGGTCTGTTGATTGTTCCAGCCCCCTGCTTTCATAGCACTTCATCACACTCCTGATATTTCACTTAATCATGCAGTAGTTGTATATGTTAGCTCTCAGACTGTCCCAGGGCTCAGGGGCAGAGACTATCTCATTGTTATATGCTCTGCACTTAGCATATGGTAGTCAAGTATAGTAAATCTTTGTTAGATGAGTGAGGTGTATCTAAGTTATTAATTGGACTAAGTTTCCACACATTTAACCCAATTAGGCCAAGTTTTATCCCTTTCTGTATTCCTTAAGACCTATGAAAAGTGGAAATAACGAACACTTTCTTGATTTTTAGGTAATGAATGCTTTAAGGGCCGTGGTATAGATTTAGTCATATTTGTTGACTGACCCTTAAATCCCCAGCACTGTGCTGGGCACAGGGAGGATACAAAAGCATTGACTATCATCGTGTTTGAGATATTCAGAATTCACTTTCTCTACTCTTCTCCCCAGATGATTCAGCTGGAGTGGCAACTCCTGTGGCCCATTCGCCTCCGAAGACACCCAGCCTTCTGGGCCCTCTTGGCTCTTCACAGTCAGCACCCCTTCCAGGCACCTCCTCAGACTCCAAACCCACAGTATCTTTCTTGGCGCTGTCCCCTACTTTTTCCATACCAGTCACTGACACCACCAAGTCACCTCAGGCTGAGACGTCTGCCCCATCCCAGGCCCTGTCTGCCCCAGCCCCCAGCCCCAAGCCAAGTCTTCTGTTTGGAATGCTGAGCACTCCCCCTGCTAACCCTTCTGCCTCTGCAGCTCCTGCTGTGTCTTCAGCATCTCCCATGTTCAAGCCCATTTTTGAGGCCCCACCTAAAAGCGAGAATGAGGGCCCCTTGCCATGTAGCCCTTCCAAGGTCACAACCACAGCATCTTTTAGCTCTGCCATTCCCACAACTACCAGCACCTCACCCATCACTTTCAAGCCTATTTTTGGCAGCATGGGGCCACCTACATCTGTGTCCTTGTCAACTCCCTTCTCCTTCAATCAGACAACTACTGCAGCCACAACCACAAACGCCCCTCTCTTCACTGGCCAGGCCAGTGCCACCTCAACAGTGGCTTCTGCGACCACAGCCAGCACCTCTGCCGACTCAGCTTCAAAGCTTACTTTTGGCTTTGGTGTGAGAAATGTGACCAGCACCATGAACAGCATGACTAGCACCACCACTTCCACCTCCCAGCCTTTTCTCTTTGGGAATCCCCCTGCCGCTGGTGCCAGCTTTACCCCAGCCATAGGCTCCATATTTCAGTTTGGCAAGCTTTCTGCCATTCCTACTTCAACAACGACGACAACCACCACCACCTTTGGCCAGTCCCTACCCAGTGCCGTGCAGGCAGCCACCAACAACAGCACCGTTGGCTTTAGTGGTTTTGGCAGCACCCTTACAACCTCCGCCCCGGTCACGACCAGCCAGCCTACCCTGACATTCAGTAGTTCTACCACCCCAACATTCAACATTCCCTTTGGCTCAAGTACCAAGGCCCCTCTCCCATCATATCCGGGAGCCAACCCCCAGCCTTTTGGGGCCACTGATGGGCAGCAACAGGGAGCTACCAAGCCAACCCTTGCCCCCAGCTTTGGCAACTCTTTCACTTTTGGAAACTCTGCAGCCCCAGCCCCAACTGCAACTCCAGCACCAACCCCAACCCAGCCAGCCTTTGGCAACACTGCGCAGTCAGCTTTTGGTGGTTTGAAACCCACAGCCTCCGCCTTTGGCACCCCTGCCAGCACCCAGCCAGCCTTTGGCAGCACCACAGCTGCCTTCTCCTTTGGTGCAGCCACCACGTCTGGCTTTGGAGCTACAACCCAGACCACCAGCAGCGGGACCAGTAGTTCAGTGTTTGGCAGCACAGCACCATCGCCCTTCACATTTGGGGGCTCAGCAGCCCCAGCTGGCAGTGGGGGTTTTGGGATCAATGTGGCTACCCCAGGCACAAGCTCTACCTCTGGAGCGTTCAACTTTGGAGGAGGACAGAGTGGGACCACTGGCAACACAGCCCCCTTTGGGGGAGGCTTGAGTCAGAACACATTGGGCGCACCCAGCCAGAGCACACCCTTTGCCTTCAATGTGGCCAGCACGCCTGAGAGCAAGCCTGTGTTTGGAGGTGAGACTAGGAGTTGATTTGGTGTGCTGTGCCGGGCACTGTTTTAAGTGCCAGCATAGCCTCCATTCTTATGGAGCTTTATATTATGGTTGTGAAAAGACAGGCTTAAATATATAAATATGTCAGATAACAATGTCTTGATAAAATACGTAATTACTGACTGTAGAGGAGCTAATTAGGTAATCAAGGAAGGCCTTTCTGATGAAATAAATTTAAGCCAAGACTATATTTGTGACAGAAAGTGGTTGCAAATGCAGGTGGGTAGGTGTATGTGAGAGAGCTTTGCAGACACAGGGAGAGCTCAAAGGCCCAAAGGCAGAAACAAGCCTGGTATGAACAGATAAAAGCAAGGTGTGGCTAGAAGTTTAAAAGTGTAGTTGGTATGAAAAGAGGTTGAGAGGTAGGCATAATTGAAGATCACCCATGGCCAGGGTTTAAATGTTTGGGTTTTAAGTACTAAGGGAAATCACTGTCAAATTCCAAGCAGAAGATGAAGTGGTTTTACTTGCCGTATGAAAGGTGAATTAGAAGTTTTGAACCTGATAGTTTCTATTTTCTTCATTAAATATGAGATCTTGGGGCGTGGATTACAGTGAAATGTGTACAGAGGAGAGCCTCTTAAATAGTCATTTTGTAGAGTGGAAAGGAAGGTAATGAGAAAGTGTAATACAACTAACTGCCGTGCAATTTGAGGGCTGGAAAATTGTAGTTATGAATTTAAAGTGAGACCAGTTAACACTGTTTTTCCCTAACAACTTTCAGTCCTTGAGGTATAGATCTAAAATAAGTAGGTAGCTGGTAAAAACCCAGCTACTCTTAGCAGGAGGGGCAGTGAACTTGGAGGTCTTGATGAGATTAAGGAAATGCAGGACTACTAGAAACAGCTGGAAAAAGAGTACAGTAGTTGCAGTTAAGATAGGGGAGCTAGAACAGTTCCTGGTGGTGATAGGTGTAGGTGGTGAAGGTTGGATAGAGGAATAGATTGGGGTAGCAAGGTCTGTGCCTCAGGGAACAAGAAAGATACTTATACCACATTGGGCTGAGACAAGTACATGTGAGAGAATGCAGCCTTCCCTGAAAGGGGCTGTAGAGAAAACAGCGTCACTACTGAGCATCAGGATTCAGTGAGGGAGGGCAAGGGAGTTTGCTGATGACTAACCCCATGGGCAGATTAGGCAACCTACAAGGTGGATTGGAGTGGTGGTGAGTTTGATGGAAGGCTCTGGTTTCTGGAGGGGAGGGTGTAACTGGTAAAACCCAACCTGTTTAACGGAGAAGAGGAATAACATGATTAGTCCTGACAGAAGAAGGGAGGTAATCTAGTCCTTTTGGTGCTGAACCAGAGCTAAGATGTCCTGTGGGGAGTGCCCATACAGAGAGCAGATCTCTGCAAGGTTCATTACCATCTGTTTTGATACCCTCTGCTCATTGACCTAGTCTCTACAGTTCTCTGCTTTTTCTTCATTCTAGGCACCTCCACACCCACCTTTGGTCAGAACACCCCTGCCGCTGGAGTGGGCACATCAGGAAGCAGCCTCTCCTTTGGGGCATCCTCAACACCCACCCAAGGCTTTGTTGGCGTCGGACCTTTCGGTAAGCTTGGCACGTCTCTCTGTTGCCAGCATGGCCTGCTTATTCTTCTCTGAAGAGGGAGTAGGGTGGGGTGGGCTGGTAGCTTCCTGGCTCTCTGAGGCCTTCTCCGGAAAGTCAGGCCGAAAGCATGAGAAAGATGTGGCCAGATTGAGAGTCCAGCACAACCAAGGTTTGGAGTTGGCGGCAGACAGCAGAGGAGCCTTTTAGGGCTGAATTTCCTGGATCCCTGGAAAGCCAGGTAAAATTGTCTTCTGGGCCTCTCCCAGACTATCTGTGATTCGGGGTTTTGCCTTTTCAATAGGCCTCTCTCCCAGCGCAATTGATACAGCTTTGGAAGCCCCCCCTCTTCAAGCACCCACAGTCCTGTTGGCCTAACTTTCCAGAGATTGGGGCAACCAAAGAAATGCTTTCAGGTAGCAGCTGCCCTGATGAGATTTTGTTGAATCTTTCCAGGATCGGCGGCCCCTTCATTTTCCATTGGTGCAGGATCCAAGACCCCAGGGGCTCGACAGCGACTGCAGGCCCGAAGGCAGCACCCCCGCAAGAAATAGTGTTTGTCCCTTGCCTCCATTCCACCCACCCCTTGCCCAAATCTGGACCTTGGTACCTGCTAGGAAGAGCCTCTAACCCATCTCGTTCCATAAAGCAAACCTGGCTTCAGCCACCAGGGAGGTAGTAGCAGCCCTGGGGGCCATTTCCCTCTGAGGAAGCGGAAGCCTCAGGCCTCTTGGTGGAGGGGGAGGTAGGATGTGGCAGGGCAGAAGCCTGATACCTTTACTTGAACAGTTCCACTGGTGAGGCTGGAGAGAACTAAAGAAACATCTGTACATACTGTCCATTTACTTCCCTCACTTGTTTAGTATATAAGCTTAGGCAGCCTTCCTTCCCACCCTTTCCCCAGCGAGCCATCTTGCTGGAGGGTAGACGGTAGAGCCCTGCCCACCTCTCTCTCTGGTATGCATTTAATGGGATTGGGGGAAATGGATTATCCCTAAAGCTTTACCTTGCTTGGCTTGGCTATAAAAAGTGGTTCTCTGGTCCCTTTAGGGGACTGTTTCCCCATTTCTTGCTTTGTCCCTCAACTGGTTCCTTGCAGGATCTATTGCTTTTTAAATGATCTTGAATCAAGCTTTGCCTTGAAGACCCCAGTGGATGCTGCTCCTGCTATTTCACTTTCTCTTGCCAAGTCTGAGTCAGTGTTTTGTCCCTAATCCTATGTGGCAGTTCAGCCCCTAAAAGCTTGGTGGCTCAAGACTGTTAGCCTGGCAGATCCAGGGGTGATTCCCTCACTCCAGGGAGGAAAGCTCTTGGAGCAGACAGGATGCCCACCGCTGCTTTCAGCTGCCTCCTCACCCGCTATCCCTGCTGGCCTCATTGGGCACGTCTGCCTCTCTGGCACTGTATGTTTAAAGCCTTGTCCTGTGTTACTTTGTCTGATGCTCATGTCTATTTCTCTTTGAATCGAGTTTGGAGGAAGAATTGAATTGTATGAGTGGCGGCATGTTGGTAGTGCCGGACTTATCTGTTTCAAGTTTCTGGGACTTAGCTAATTGAATGTGGAAAGTAGCACCACTTTACGGCTACAAGTGCCAACTCCTGAATTTTCAAATGGTGTTTTGACTTTAAGGGCTGGCAGCCCAGGAGGATAGGGCCAAGGGGAAGCAAAAACCTCGTCTCTTCCCTCTGCTGTTTCTCTCTCCAACCTACCTGACCTCACAGGAGGCTAGAACACCCCTAGTGTATGTTAGAAAACCTAAGTTAATGAGCCACACTTTCAAATTCTTAGTCGCCACCCCCTCTCCCCTCAACCCTTCTTTTCTTTGTTTCAAAGCCACATACCCCAGGCCTAAGAGCCTTGCTGCCATGCCCATCCTCTTTGGGAGAAGTATGAATGCGTGTGTCTAAATTAAAAGAAAAAATATTTAAACATTTTTTAACAAAATAAAAATTTATTTTTGTATTTAAGCTAAATTGCCTTTTAAATTCCTTCAAGCTTGGTTCATTGAGGTGGTTAAGTATAAATGCTGTTGATTAGGAATTAGCTGTATAGTTAAGTTATGCCTGTGTGAAGAAGAGGCTCTAGTGCTGTCTCAGGCAGCTTTCCTGGGGTGACTAGAGCTCCTTCTGGACACATTATGTAAAATGTAATTCTTTTTTTTTTATAAATAATGTGACGTAGATGTAACTAGTCCCCCTCACTCTTTTGTGACTGAGGTTGAAAGTTTTGTGGCAGGGGACTGACTGCTCCCCCCCGCACCCCCCTTAGAAGAGCTCTGTTAATACTTAACTGTCTGTGGAGCTGAGGAGGGAGCCTGAACCTCAAGTCTCAAATACCTACTAGAATTGGAGGGGTGTGGTGGGGCACAGGCCTAGAAATCAAGCTTCTACCTATACCTTATGTAAGGTAGACGACCCTCTTAGTTTTAGTACTCTAAGCTAGTTTACCTCAGTTCCACAGGCAGGACAGTTGGTCCAGGAACCCCCTGAAGAGGGTATCCTGGCACAGCCTGAGTGTGAGTGTGTGTGTGTATGTGTACATGTACGTGCACTGGACAGGAACGGGAGGCTGGGACTTTCCATTACAAATAGACTTAATTCCTGTGAGTCTAGTTGGAATTTTTAGTATGAATGTGAGATTTTTCTCCTTGCTTATGTCATTAAGAATAAAAAAAAACTGTGATCTATCGTAGACCATGTCCTGCCTTTTATTTTTGTGGGTAGCACTTCTCGCAACAGCAAGAACATGACTCTGGGAAGGTACGAAAAGGACGAGGCAATCCGTTCTGTCTTCCCAGCTGGAGAAACAGGGCTATGAATTTCCTTCCTATAGCAACAAAAAGAAAAGAACCTTTCAAAAACTAAACTGATGCCTGGGGCTGAGGGCCCAAAGCTAAGCCGAAGGGAGAACCAGTGTCATCCTTTCCTCCACCCAAGAAGTCAAAGTTTTGAGCACCTGCTTTGTGCAAAGTAGCATGCTAGGAGCAGCTGCTGCAGTTCGCCGCCGCCTCTTTTTCTTCAGAGCTGGGCTAGGGCCGGACCTAAGTTCTGGTGCTGATACTTCGGTCTGTGAGACTGAGCTAGAAGAAAAGTATTAAGTTAGATGTGTCCCAATCTTCTATCATCTTCCCAGCAGGCCCCCTGCTCACCTTGGCACCTCTACCCGTTCAAGTACAGCAATGAAGAAGCCACCAGTGAGTGTGGTCTCAGGGGAGGCCCGGAGACAGTGTTCTGCCCCTGGGAAAGTGTTAAGGCCTCGGTGGGGCCAGGAGGGTATGACAGGAGCTAACCTGTGGAGAAGAGCACACAGACTTCTAGGTAAAAGAGAGCAGCCCTCTCCCCTCCCCAAGACCCTAGTAGAAAGCCAACTACCTAAAGGTTCCTGAACTCTGCTGTAGGGCCTCCTGTACCACATCTTCGTTCTCCTCTTGACAAAGGGAACACGTGGAGTAGACCAGGCGCTGCAGGGAGGGGAAAGTGAGCGCATGGCACAGAGCTCGCTGCTGGAACCCTGCCAAGGCACGCAAACGTTCCTTGCTAGGTAAACCTGTCCCAGGCTCCTCCAGCTGTCTAGTCAACATACCTAGGGAAAAGAGTGTTTTAATTAAATTGCCTTGTTTCATACTGAAATCCCCACTTTATAAATGACAACATTTGCCCAGGGTCACAAGACAATTTGAGTCAGAACTAAAGAAAGCCAAGACCTAAATGAACTACCACTTCCACTCTAAGGCTGCTCTTGATCTGTTGGTCCCTAGGCTATGAATTCTCCCCATCTCACCAGAGCCACTACAGGAAGGATCCAGCAAAATGTACTGGACCTGACGATAACGCTGGTCTGAGGGTGAAACTGCCAGAAAGTCCTCTTCGGCTAGCTGGCAGCACGAGACTCCAGCCCGGGCCAGCAGAGTAGCCATAGACGCCAACCGCTTGGCATCCAGGTCAAAGGCAAAGATCTTCCTACAGACAAGGCCAGAGTTGGGGTTAACTGAGTTTATACACCATCTAATGGACATTAAGTTGGGACATGCAGAAGATAACATTTACACAGCCTGAAAGGACTAAGGAATTCACTTCTCACACCTGCAGCCCACTGGGAAGCTTAGTTTGGGGTTATATCAGGAACTGCTCTAAGTCTAGAGGGAAATATTTAAAGGAAAATCTTCCTTTCAGCCTTCAGACCTATTGGGAAAACGAGTTCCTTATTTCTCACCAGCTAAAGGATCCGACCCCATTCCCTCCCTTTGTCTGACCATGGCACTCACCCTTGGTTCTTCAGAAGAGCAGCCAAGTGACTGGTCTTATTGCCGGGGGCAGCACACGCATCGATGACATGGGAACCTGGGGGCGGGGCCAGCAGCATGGCTGGGAGACAGCTAGCCTGGCAGGGCAAAGCACAACTGCTGGGTGAACAGACTCCAAGCTAGTCACTTCTACACATTCTTTCCTTTTCCACCCACCTTCCCTACCTTGTCTTGTAAGATGAGGTGGCCTGCTTGGTACAGTGGATGTTCATGCAGATCTGTTTGGGCAGGAAACACAAGCAGCTCTGACAACAAGGGATCCAGAAGAAAACACTTCCCTTTGAGGGCCCTTAGGTCCTCAAGGCTGTCAGGGAACAAGAACCATTCATTCAACATTTTTTTAATTGTCCCATGCAAGGCACCAGGCTGGGCATTTTATATGTTACCTAACATGTTAACTTCATTCATGCAATAAATGTTTAAGGCTGAACTAAACAGGATAATAAGACAGAGTCTGGGTTCTCAGACCAGACTCTGGTTTCAGGATCCCACCTCAGCCATTTATCAGCAGTGGAAGCAGGAGCAAGTGCCCTTATCTCAGGCTGTTTGCACTTTTATAAAATAGCTGTGAAGATTAAGTTAATGCATGTGAAATACTAGGTGTACTGGTTAATAATGCAGATTTTTTTTCAACAGATGGAGTTACACATATGTTGATATATATGCGATTTGATATGTATGCTATTTTGTTGTACTGACAACAAGCTTCAAACCTTCATATGTCAAATTTGCTGAAGGTGTTAACATCATAGATATTTTTATACTTAAAAGTGTCGAATTTCAGCCCTAACCGGTTTGGCTCAGTGGATAGAGCGTCGGCCTGCGGACTGAAGGGTCCCAGGTTCTATTCTGGCCAAGGGCATGTACCTTGGTTGCGGGCACATCCCCAGTGGGGAGTGTGCAGGAGGCAGCTGATTGATGTTTCTCTCTCATCGATGCTTCTCTCTATCCTTCTCCCTTCCTCTCTGTAAAATATCAATAAAATATATATTTTTTAAAAAGTGTCGAATTTCATGCCAAAAAAAAGAGCATTTGCGGGAAGTTTTAATCCATTACTTTATTTTGAAGAAAAGTGTTGCTGAAAGTTATCATATACTTCAGGAAGCTTATGGTGAACATGCTCCATCTCAAGATACTTGTGAATGCTGGTTTAAACGCTTTAAAAGCAATGAACGTCCAGGTCAACCGAAAGTTTGAAGACCCACGATTACAAGCATTATTGGATGAAGATGCGTGTCAAACTCAAAAACAACTTGCAGAAAGATTAAACGTTGCTCAGCAAACAATGTCCAATCGTTTACAAGCAATGGGAAAGATTTTAAAGCAGCAGTTCTCAACCTGTGGGTCGTTGTGACTGGCAATGAAAAGTGGATTTATTCTGAAAATCCCAAATGCACACATCATGGGTTGATCCAGGTCAACCATCAACATCGACTGCAAGGCCAAATTGTTTTGGAAAAAAGACAATGCTCTGTGTTTGGTGGGATCAGGAAGGTGTGGTGTATTATGAGCTTCTAAAACCAGGTGAAACCGTGAATACTGATCACTACTGACAACAAATAATCAATTTGAACCATGCTTTGATCGCGAAATGACTAGAATAGGCCAGAAGACACAGCAGGGTAATTTTGTTTCATAATGACGCATCATCACACACTTCAAAACCAGCTAAAAACATTAAAAGATCTTGCCTGGGAATTATTAACCCACTTGCTGTATTCACCAGACTGCTCCTTCAGATGACCACTTGTTCTGATCAATGGCACATGCACTTTCTGAGCAGCACTTTAAACATACAAAGAAGTGGAAAATTGAGTCTCGGAATGGTTTGCCTCAAAACAAGAAAAGTTATCTTGGGACGGTATCCACAAATTACCTGAAAAATGGGGAAATGTGTAGCTAGCAATGGACATTACTTTGAATAAAGAACTTTTGATGTTTCTTTTGAAATTAGTGTGTTTCCTTTGATTACAAAATCTGCTGTTATTAACCCCTTCCCCGGCAGAAACGTGTATACACGTTTTCACAAAATGTTCTTTTTTCAGTCGTCGACGAGTATACTCGTCTAAAACTTTACCTTCAAAAACCAGCTACATACGTACCATTCTAAATAATTTCATCTAGAAACTTTCTGAGGAAATACTATTCTTAACCACAAAAATGGGAAGAAAAAATAATTACAAACTGTTTTCATAACCAGCATCAAAAATACTATATAGAACCAAAATAAAAAAATTAGTCTGAAAAAGAAACGTTTTTAACAAAAAAATTGTTGGGGAAGGGGTTAAAAGGTACACCTAGTACTTAGAAAAATATATGGCACAAATTAGGCACTCAATAAATGTTAGCCATTACTGCTAAAACAACCTTAAGGAGAAGTTATTTTGGGGGGAATTGGACAGGGAAGGGTAGATGTAGGGCAGATAAGTATTGAGCTGACTCCTGATGGATGAGTTAGTAATGTGAGAAGCTAAGATGAAAACTACATTCACTAAACTCTGTAAAGGAGCACTGTCCACTCCACCCTGACCCACATAGAAACAGGCCTAGAGAATAATGTCCCAGTTCAGAAAGCTATCAAGCAGCAGAGCGGGAATTCACACACACACACAGCCATTCTCTACTCTACCTCCCTGGTTTCTAAGCAACATGCTCCAAGCAGAAGGGGGAACACCTAAAACAGATGTGGGGGAGGGGCAAAGGCGCTTCCCAGAGCTGTCAAAGAACAGGGAGAGGTGGGAAAGCATCAGAGCAGAGAGTGGCAATCACTGTGGGAACAACAGGTGCACAGAGTGGCATGGCAGATGGGCCTGGAGGGGAAGCAGGGGGGACAGTACAATGGAGAGTCAAGAGAGGGTTTTCAGCAGGTAGTAACTCATCGGATATGGTTTCAGATCTTTCGGCAGCCAAATCAGGATGAGTGCCTAAACCTAGGTAATGTCCAGAAGGACAAAAAGAAAGGTGCAGATTTGAGAAAAATGCTGAAGGCAGAGTAGTGAGTGACTGGAGGGAGAGGAAGAAAGCATCTAGGATGACTCAGTGTCTGGTTTGATCAAATGAGTGCCTAATTATATCTGCTAGGTTAAAATAGGGAATGCAGAAGGTGCAAAGTTCAGGGATACAAGGATGGTTAAAATTAATCAATGTGATACAGCACATTAAGAAAATGAAGGCTTGCCCTAGCCAGTCTTGCTCAGTGGATAAAGCATTGGCCTGCGAACTGAAGGGTCCTGGGTTCAATTCTGGTCAAGGGCACATGCCCGGGTTGCAGGTTTGATACCCTGTGGGGGCTGTGCAGGAGGCAGCCAATCAATGATTCTCTTGTCATTGGTGTTTCTATCTCTCTCCCTCTCCCTTCCTCTCTGAAGTCAATAAAAATACATTTTTTTAAAAATGAAGGATTTATCACAAAAACCCTAAATAAAGTTGGTATAGAAGAAATGTACTTCAACATAATAAAGGCCATATAGGACAAGCCCACAGCTAATATCATATCAATGGTGAAAATCTGAAAGCTTTTCCTCTAAGATCAGGAACAAGACAAGGCTACTTTTAATCAATAGTATTGGAAGTCCTAGCCAGAGCAATTAGGCAAGAAAATAAAGACATCTAAATTGGAAAGGAAGACGTAAAATATATATAGAAAACCCTGAAGACTCCACCAAAAACCTCTTAGAATTAGTAAACAAGATCAGTAAAGTTGCAGGATGCAATATCAATATGCAAAAATATGGTGCATTTCAACACACTAATGAACTATCAGAAAGTTTAAAAGAAGCCCATTTATAACTGCATCAAAAAGAATAAAATACCTCAGAATAAATTTAACCAAGGAGGAGAAAGACCTGTACACTGAAAACTATGTAAGATATTAATGAAAGATATTCCATGCTCATGGGTTGGAAGAATCTATGCTAATAAAAGGATAATATGCTAATTAGACCAGACATCTTCCAGATGTTCTTCGGGACGTGCTTCCGGACAAAGCCATGGTGGCGGGGCTGAGACAGAGGCAGTTAGGGGTAATCAGGCTGGCAGGGGAGAGCAGTTAGGGGGATCAGGCCGTCAGGGGAGGGCACTTAGGGGCAACCTGGCCTCAGGGGAGGGCAGTTACGAGCGACCAGGCAGGCAGGTGAACAGTTAGGAATCAGCGGTCCCGGATTGCAAGAGGATGTCCGACTGCAGGTTTAGGTCCGATCCTGCAGGCAGTTGGATATCCCCCGAGGCATCCCGGATTGGAGAGGGTGCAGGCCGGGTTGAGGAGAGAACCCCCTCTCCATTCTCCCCTGTGCACGAATTTCGTGCACTGGGCCTCTAGTATTGTTAAAATGTCCATGTTACCCACAGCAATCTACACATTCGATGCAATCCCCATCAAAATTCCAATGGCATTTTTCAAAGAAATAAAACAAATAATCCTCCTAAAGTTTGTATAGAACCACAAAAGACCCAAATAGCCAAAGCAATCTTCAGAAAAAACAAAGCTGGAGGCAGCATGCTCCCTAATTTCACACATTACAAGACTATAATAAAACAGTATGGTACTGACATAAAAACACACATGGATCAATGAAACAGTACAGAGGGCCCAGAAATAAACCCACACATATGTGATCAATTTATGACAAAGGTGCCAAGAATATACAATGGGGAAAGGACAGTCTTTTCAATAAATGGTGTTGGGAAAACTGGACAGTCACATGCAAAAAAATGAATGAAACTGGACCATTCCCTTATACCATTTACAAAAATCAACTCAAAATGGAGTAAAGACTTGAATGTAAGACCAAAAATCATAAAACTCCTCGAATAAAACATAGGCGGTAAGCTCCTTGACATGGAGCTTGGTAATGATATTTTGGATTTGACACCAAAAACAAAAATAAACAAGTAGGACCACATCAAACCAAAAAGCTTCTGTACAACAAAGGAAACTATCAACAAAATGAAGGTGCAACTTACTGAATGATAGAAAATAGTATATGCAAATCATATATTTGATAAGGGATCAAAATCCAAATCCAAAATATATAAAGAACTCAATAGCTAACAACAACAACAAACAATCCAATTAAAAAATGGGCACAGGATAATAGACATTTTCCCAAAGAAGATAAACAGATGGCCAACAGGTACATGAAAAAAAGGTTCAATAGCATTAATAATCAGGGAAACCCAAATCAAATGAGATACCACCTCATACCTGCTAGAATGAGTGTTATAAAACACGCAAGAAATAAGTATTGGCAAGGATGTGGAGAAAAAAGAATGCTTGTGCACTGTTAGTGGGAATGTAAATTCCAAATGGGAAACAATATAGCGGTTCCTCAACAATTTAAAAACAAAACTACCATATGATCCAGCAATTTCACTTTTGAGTATTTACCTCAAGGAAAGCACTAATTTGAAAGATATTTTCACCCCCATGTTCACTGCAGCATTATTTACAATGGCCAAGACATAGAAGCAGCCTGTGTCCACCAATAGATGAATTAAAGAAAATATGACATACACACAGTGAAATATTATTCAGTCATAATACCTTGCCATTTTCCCTCTTTCCTTTTTTTTTTTTTTTTTTTTAGTGTAAGTTGGATGGACCTTAATGGCAAAGTCAGCTAGAGAAAGACAAATACCATATGATCTCATGTGGAATCCTAAAACAAAAAAAAACCCCCAGAACTCATAGATACAGAGAACATATCTGGGGGTTGGGGGACAAAATGGGTGAAGGGAGTCAAAGGTACAAATTTCCAAGTATTAAATAAATCATGAGATGTAATGTGCAGTGTGGTGAATAGTTAATACTGTACTGCATATTTGAAAGTTGTTAAGAGAACAAATCTTAAAAGTTTGTATCACAGGAAAAAAAAATTTTTGTAACTGTATGGTGGTAGATGTTAACTAGACTTACTGTGATCATTCTGCAATATATACAAATATCAAATATATACATTTCACTGTACCCCTGAAACTAACATAATGTTATAGGTCAATTATACCTCAATTAAAAAAAATACTGCAAAATAATCCAATAACTTGTTTAAGCATATTTTTTGGAAGAATTACTTTTAAATCTTGAATTTTGAATGTTACTGAACAACAACAAAAAAAGGTGCAAAGTTCAGAGGATGAATTCAGTCTGACATGCTGAGACTGTAAAGCACTGATATGAACCTGAGGGTATGAATACAAGAGAGAAGTCTAGACTGGGGGGGCAAGAATCATCAGGTGAGAATTAGGAATTAGAGCTAGGGAAGAAATTGAGGGATGGATACATTAGAACAGTGGTCGGCAAACTCATTAGTCAACAGAGCCAAGTATCAACAGTACAACGATTGAAATTTCTTTTGAGAGCCAAATTTTTTAAACTTAAACTATATAGGTAGGTACATTGTTATTAACTTAATCAGGGTACTCCTAAGGCTTAGGAAGAGCCGCATGCGGCTTGAGAGCCGCAGTTTGCCGACCACGGCATTAGAACAGTGGTTCTCAACCTTGGCTGCACATTTTCCTCTTTCTTAACAATGCCCTTTTTCTGTTGTTATTAAGCTTGGTGGGTTGGCCCATAAGCTTAATGAATATTAGAGCCGAAGTAATCTTAGAGATCATTTAGTCCAATCACTACAAGAAATTAAACTCCAGGAAGAGTACTTAAGGCAGTGGTTCTCAGCCTTGGCTGCACATTAGAATCACCTGGGAATCTTTTTAAAACCCTGATTTCTGGGCCTCACCCCATAACAAAGAAACAGAATTTCCGGAGGATGAGGCCCAGAAATCAGGATTTTAAAAAGATTCCCAGGTGAATCTAATGTGCAGCCAAGGTTGAGAACCACTGCATTAGAAGCATGTCAATGGGACTCCCAGGACAATCAATGTTTAAGGAATGGAGGAAAACAGCCCTTGGAAGGGGATGGAGAAACTGCTGTAAAAATAGGAAAAAACCCGAGTGCCGTCACCACCACCCCGCCTCTCCCCGTCCATTTCCCCAGGGCCCCAGCACCTCCCGAGATCAGGGCAGCCAGTCAGGGTTCTCTGCTCACCTGGAAGCCCGGCCCTGGTAGGAGAAACCTTGTCTCTTGAAATAATCGATTGCATCATCAGAGCAGGTCTTGAGCGTGTTCACCCGCACAAATCGAGGCACCTGGGAGGCTAGGAAGCAACCAGCCATCATCAGTGGGCAGGAACATGCCACTGGAGGGCCTGATGGCTGCCCCCACCCCCACAACTCAGCTCACCTGCGCCAGGCCCACTTCCCACTTCCAACAAGTCCTCATTCCGGCTCACACCTCGACGGACCTTCAGCCGGGCCAACTAGC